AAATAAATCTTTAAAAAGGGAAGTCTTAAAATTGATATCACAGATAGGTTAAGAAAGTTTAAGTAAAGTTTGGAGCATCCTGTTACTACAGCAAGGAAGGAAAGACTTGAAGAATCAAATATATCAAAAGAGTACAACAGCTTGAAAGGGTCTCCACTGGCTGGCTCCAGGAAAATTTGAGTTCCAAAATAAATAATGATAGAAACAATTATAAGTGATTTAATTCTGATTTAATAAGTAGGTCAGTAAATACTTGGAAAAGAAAATTTCTTTTTTTTTAAAGATTTATTTATTTATTTGAAAGGGCTACAGAAAAGGAGAGAAAGAGACAGAAAGAGAGAGAGAAAGATGTTCCATCTACTGGTTCACTCCTCAAATGGCTTTAGTGGCCAGGACTGGGCCAGGCAAAAGCCAGGAGCTTCTTCTGGGTCCCCCATGCTGGTGCAAGGGCCTAAGCATTTGGGTCATTCCTGCTGCTTTCCCAGGTGCATTAGCAGGGAGCTGTATGGCAAGTTGAACAGCTAGGACTTGAACCAGCACCCACATGGGATGCCAGTGCGGCAGGCAGCAGCTTTGTGCGCTACGCCACAGCACCGGTACCAGAAAATTTCTTACACTAGAATATCAATGACAAAAAGGTTGATGAGGTATTTCCAAATTATCAATGTTAGGTGAAACTACTTGGTGAAATTTTATAAGAAACTGTATATTTACAGTTAAAAAGTATTGTTCTGTAAGTTATTTTTTCAAAAAATTTTAATTGAGCAAATTTCATGTATTTCATAAATACAATTCTAAGAAGATAACCAAGCTTCTCTCTCTTCCCTTCCTACTCTAGTCTCCCTGCTTCCTTTTATTCTTTAATTTTCGCAATAAGATACTTTCAACTTTAATTACAAAGATCAGATAGTAACTTTCATTGCAGACACCAGGAGGACAATACCTTAATCAAATGACCAACGGTAACATCACCAATTTTGACAATCAACATCAATGACACTCCATATAATAATATTGAAGGAATATATGAGTGTTTTTGTTAGTGTTCCTGAAAAATGATGAATAGCAAACATTAGACATATCCATATTGAGAAACATTATTAGATAATCTGGCTTGTACTCATCAAACAAACATGACAAAGTTGAAAAGGCTGAGAAGTGCCATGTTTGAGTCAGTATTAGATTCTGGCTCAGGGGAACAAGTAGTCATAAAGGAGATTATTGGGCAAATCATAAAATTTGAATATGGTATATAGATGAAATAGTTTTGCTTCAAAGTTAAATTTCCACATTTTGCCACCAGTAGTTTAAAGGAAGTAATCGCTGAAGTATTCTGATATAAAGGGGCACTATATCTCCAACTTACTTTCAATGGATCATAAAAATTCATACACATATTTATAGAAAGATAAAGTAAATAGGAAAAATATAAACTAATAGCAAATCTCAGTGAAAACTATATAGGGAGCTTCTTGTACTATCCCTGCTCTTTTCCATAACTCTGAAATGATATAATAAAAAGTGTAAGCAAAATGTGTATGCAGCTACTTACAGGTTGTTATCTTTATGCTTTAAAGGATAAGACTTTCTACAAAAAGACACCACGTTCATACAAACAATTTTAAAGATTTTTATAATAGACCGTTAACTTTCTTGGTGAATAGATATTTTAAATAATATGCATAAATTATTATGAATTTATTTCAGTGATATTCATTCATTTGTTTCTAACAGGATAATTTCCACATTTTTTTGCCAAATAATAAAGGAGTACTTCAGAAAGAACATGGAAAATGTTATAAAAAGATCAATTTATTTTGCTATAAAAATTTTTAAACCATATGCATATGAGTGTTGTGCCTTTTATTATCAAGAAACTAAAGATTCAAGAAATTTAAGAGATTGACATCCAATTAATCTTCCTGAATTAAAAGGAAAAATGTCTTCCAATATCACTAAGTAAATCAACAATTTAAGATTTACACAGAAATAGGAATATGGGAATGAAAATCCCTCACTGTATACTGAAGTGGTGTATTATAAAATGCATACTTTACATTGTAAAAATAAAGTTTAACAAGTTCTCTTGGGAGTATTGTACTTGTAAAAGGAAATACGGAAGTTTCGACTTAATCCACTTCACTAAACACAACTTTAAAACACTTGTTCCCTTGAATGTGACAGTTAGACTGGAATTTTAATATAATAGCACAGTCTGCTTCATTAATGATAGAATAATGTAAATGGAATAAATCTAGCAGAATAAATCCAATTTCAAGTTTTTTAAGCCTTTTGATCATCAGAGTTTAATCTAGAATTTCAACCACTAAATGTATATAGAAAAATAATTGACAAATACTGATTTGTAGTTTCTATTTAGGTTTCTATTTAGGTTAGTTACATAACAATTCCTGATTTACTTGGAGCATTGTGTTCCAGGGCTAGGTAAAATTTTTTAGGCTTGATACCAAATGATAATCCACAAAAGTAAACTTGATGTGCTAAATATCATAAATTATTATTATTATTAGTGCCCTATGAGATAGCCTGTTGACAGAATGAAAAGCCAAACCACCTGCCAGAAAAATGTTTCCAAACTATATATCCAACAAAACACTAGTGCTTAAAGAACACCAAAAATATAATGAAAACCAAAATAAATCTGGTTAGAAAATGGGAAAATATATGAAGAGATATTTGATTGATGAGGATTTGATAACTAAGTGAAACGATGAACTACAACAACATCACTGACAACCTGCAACTGCCACAAACAAAACATGACTGGACATTAATCCAGGAGAAATGAAGACTTGCTTTAGCAAATGGATCCGCAATAATAAAAAACTAGAAATAATCCAGATGTTCTTCAGTGAGTGAATGATTGCCTTAGTATATCTGAGAAGCTATAGCAAAATACTCTAAACTGAGTAACTAATAAGCCATGAAATTTTCTCTAACAATTCTAGGAGTTGGGGAGTCCAAGTTCAAATCACCAGGAGAGCTGAGGTCTGTAAGGCCCTGCCTCTGCAGAACATCAAGGCAGTTCACCACAGCCTTTTCTATAAGGGAATCAACCCCATTCATAGGGATGAAGTGCTCACAACTCTATCCCTTCACAAAATTTCCACCTCTTAATACTATTTTATTGGGGATTAGATTTCAACACTTGAATTTGGGAGGAACACACAAACACTCGGACTACATCACTGGTTGAACAATCTGTGAAACATTAGTCAGAGCTCTCCAAGAAAAGAGAACCAGTGGTATGTATTAGATAGATGGATGGATGGATAGATAGATAGATAGATAGATAGATAGATAGAGAATTTAATTTCAGAACTGGCTCATGCAATTATGGAGGTCAGGGAAGTTTCACAATATGCCAAGGCAGCTTAAGAAGCTGTAGGGAGATGCTAGTTTAAGTTCCAGGGTCTGAAGGCCCTAGCTTCTGGAGTTCTGATGCCTGAGTGCAGGAGAGGGATGAGTGAGTTGCAAAATACAGAGTTAATTTTCCCCTTCCTTCACCTTTTTGTTCTATCTTGCCCTCAATGTATTGGATGATGCCCACCAATATGGTGATGGCATTTTTATTTTACTCCACCCACTGATTCAAATACTGTCTTCTAGAGACTTCTATAGAAATAATGTTTTACCAGCTGAGTATCATTTAACCTAATCAAACTGACATCTAAAATTAACCATCATCCATCCAAATGATAGAATAGGACTTATCAATTACAAAGAATTAATTATTTTTAATAATTTATTTTATTTGAGACATAAAGAAGGAAATGCAGATATAGAGAGCTCCCATCCTCTGGTTCATTCTTCAATTGCCTGTAAGAACCAGAGGTAGCCAGGCCAAAGCTGAGAAGCTGGAACTCAGTCCAGGTCTTCTACGCTGGTGTCAAATACCCAACTGCTCCACCTATGAGCACTTACCACCAGAGTGAACATCAACAGGAAGTTGGAATCAGGAGAATAGCTGGCATTCCAACTTGGCATTCTGATATGGAAGGACAGGTGTCCTAAGTGAAGTCTTAACTATTAGGCTAAATGCCTACCCCAGGAATTATCTATTGATACACATAACAGTCTAGGAGAATTTCTATAGTATTATGCTGAGTAAAATAAATCCAATCCCATCGCTTCTTGGCCTTTTGGCTAAGATCAAGTGTAAATCCAATCCCACAATGTTAAATACTACATGATTTCATTTATATTACAGCATTGTGACAATATTAAAAAAAAAACAGAGTATTAATTCCCAGGGGTTAAAGAGAAGGTGGGTAAGAAGAAGTGGGGTAACAGGAAGGATCCCTTCTAGAGAAGTAAATGTTATACATTTTGACAGTATCAAAGGCAGCATCCTGTTTCTGATATTTTACTAAATATGCAACATGATAAAACTGGGTAGGTATTAGCATTATAGCATAGCAAGTAAAACACCACTTGCAATGCTGATATCCAATATCAGAGTGTCAGGGTAAGTCCCAGCTGTTCCACTTCCCATCAAGCTTTCTGCTCATGTCTCGGGGTTAGAAGCAGATGATGGCCCATACCACATATTAATACTTGAAAATGAACACTAGCAGAACTACATTTTTACTTAAAAGCAAGGATTATGATAGGTATTTCTTTATAATTGTTTCAGGCACAATACCTGGTGTAAAAAAGCAAAATTTTGTTAAGTGTTAGCCATATTGACTAAGAATTGGATAATTACCAAACATATAGAAACACTGACCTACATATCCTCACACAGGGGAGGGAATCTGCAGATAGAGAGAAGTGTGCTGTCCATTTTGAGATACTGTTAGGAATCTGTATCATGATGTCTTAAGTATACATAGCCCATTTATAGAGGCTAGATCCTAAAACAAAAGCTACCGTGTGACAACACACTTTCTCTCTTTTTTTAATTTATTTCAGGTATACAAAATTTCATGCTTTTCAAGTATACAGATTTAGGATCATAGTGATACTTTCCAGCTTACCTTCCATCCTGTCCATTTTCACAGCCTTCTTCACGCTCCCTCTCCTGTTCCCACTCCTAAGTTTCACAAACATTATTTTCAGTTCACTTTATATTCAGAAGATTAACCCTACATTAAGTAAAGATTTCAACAAATAGTATGAAGAAAAACCCACTGTTCCTCAACAGTTGAGACAAGGGCTTTAATAACTGATCATTGAATCTCTAAATGTCAACTTCACTCCGATACATTACATTTTAGGTACTCTACTTGTTTCTCTTCAGTCACCAAGTAATTTCAAAATTTGTTTATGCTTCTGGACCTTAAGTTATAAGAAATATCATTGACCTTTTATATAGTAGGATTGTTTGAACTTAGAGAAAAATATTATACTAAGTTGGAAGTGGTTTATTATTTGAAAGGATAACTGAAATAATTTCATTTAGTCAGTATGTCCCAGTGACCATTCTCATAACTGACTGTGAATAAGAATACCAGAAAATGGGTGGGAATACAGCACAGCAGAAGTTACCCCCATCCTATACCGGCCTGGGTTCAAGCCCAGGCCCCAGTCCTCATGTAGTTGCCTGCTGATGTACACCCTGGGAGGCAATAAGTAGTGGCCCAAGTACTGAGTTCCTACTACACTCATAGGAGACCTGGACTGAGTAAGTGGCTACTCTGGCCACCTCCTAGCTGTATAGACATTTAGGAAGAAAAACAGAGGATGGGAAATTTCTGTGTGTGTTTCTCTGCTTTACAAATGAAATCAATCAATTCCATCAATCCATCAATAATAAACTTTAATTGTATTTAAATAAAAAAAAAATTAGTTGGGTATTGTAACTGAGAAACCTCTTGTACTTTTTCAGCATTAACCCAAAGCAAAAGGTTAAGAATTCTGAGCTTGGAATGTGCTTTTTTACCTAGGAGTAAATATATCCACATCCCATATCTACACCTCGTTCTGCCTGCTGCCTTCAATTTCTTGACAATGCTGACCTTGGAAAGCAGCAAGTGATGAGTCATGTGACTAGGTTCCTGTCACCCGCTTTGGTGACTTAGATTGCATTTCTGGGCCCAGGATTCAGCCCTGACCCAACCCCAGCCATTGAAGAAACGGGGAGAGTAAATAATGAAATGGCAGTTCTATCTCTGTGTCTCTTTCCAATAAATAAATGAATATTTTTTAAAAGAAACCTGAGATTGTCTATTTTGCTAAAATCCACTGACCAAGTTGTTTTTCCTGGATGCAAGGTTTAATGTTATCATTTCTTGTGGATAAAAGAATTCTAGACACTCTTGCTCCCCGACTGCATTGAATCCTCACCAGTGTGAGCTGCTAGGGGAAATGACCTTCACATGTCTGATTACCTTTGCCTTTTCCCTGTTGGTCTGGGAGCCAGGGGGAGGAAGCCATAATACTGGTATGTGTTTTATTCATATCTACCATGTCTGTGTTTTGGAAAACAGAGACTACTCATTCAAATGAAAATGAACTTAAAATAGCATTAGTTCTAGCCTTTTGGAGACTAATTCAAAAACAAAATTTTGAAAGTGGGAAAACATGTGCCAATTTGTGTTTAATGATTATGCAGCTAGGATGGACCATTTAAGTGTATTTTTAGAGATCATGATTTGCTTAAAGCAGAAAAATGTTTTAGAAAGATGATTTTTTTAAAAAAAAGATGATATAGTAGTGTTTTCACATAGGTAAATGAAAAGGAAACTTAAATATGGTTTCCACATTCCTTAACCAAATCTTCCTATAAACTGGAAAAAGGAGGCCTATATGGAAGGAGACTTCATTCATTCCAGTACTAGCTATCCCCCAGTTTTTCAGTAGCTGTAGGAGTTGTGCATACAGAAGAAGTGAAGTCTACATTTTCATGAGTCTGCAATGATAGACCAATATTGATGTTGAGCTCCAAGACGAGTCATAAGAGTTGAAACTGTAGCCAGCTTCCTCTACTCAAATAAAACCATAGCAAGTAGGTGAAGTATAGGAGGTTGGTGAAAGGATAAAGACAGATAAGCCCAATCTAAATAAATTTCGACAGCTGTGGCTCAATGCAACTGGCAGAGAAATTTGAAGAACCATCCATCATTAAAATTATCAGCAAAAGAAAGGAATGACACACTGTGGTGAACAGACAAAACTGAAAGTTACTATACTGTTGTCTCCACTTTTATTTTATATTCAGTATCCGTAATAAAAGTGTATGCCAAACAAAGAAGCCTGAAGATATGACACATAAATTTATAAAATAGTCCATAAAAGATGAACTCCACATGGCCAAGTATTCAGAATTACTAGATAAGGACTCTAAGATAATTCTTACAAATATATTAAACAAAGGATGAATAATTTGGGACAGGAAATATTGAATGATGTTAAAAGCATCATTTGAAAATAATACAATGAAGAAAAGAAAAAGTTGACACAACCTCTAGAGATGGGATAAAAGACAAAGGTCTTCAGAAGAGAATTAAAATAACTCCTATGGCAGTAGTAGAGGGTAAATGGCAAAAGGGGACAGACTGATCAAAAAGCACAGTTCAATAAGATTACTAATCTGGCTCTTAAAAATTATCCACATGTTAAAAATTTCACCTATGCTCTCAAACAATCTATGCCATAGTATATGATTGGGACTCTATAATTTAGCATTTTGTAGAAAAATTGAGAAATTAAATAATGCTGATAAGAGAGGTGTTATCATATAGATATGTATCATGTATTTTAGATATATTATTTTAGTGTTGTTACCATAAAGCACACTGTGAAAGGACTAACAGAAAAGAAAGTAGTTATATGGAGAATGAATGTTGCAGCTAAGCATATGATATAGAAATGATATACCAGTACCTGGAAATGTATATTAATACTTACATTATATATATGTAATATGTATATTGCTACTCTTAGCCATGCATTGCACCTTAAAAATCTAATTTTCAGAACTTCTCACAATTCCTTAAACATTCAAACTTACGAATATTATATAAGTTATCCCAGCTTTGATATGTTTAAAGATTCCTGTAGCTCAGTGGCTCTCAGTGGACACAATTTGCTCCAAGAGGAATTTGACAATATCTGGTGACATTTTTCAGCATCACAATAGTGAGAATGCTACTGGCATCTAGAGAGCAGAGGTCAAGGGTACTCCTGAACATGTGACAATGTACAGACAGCCCCACACTATAAAATGTCTACACTGTAGAGGCTGACAAACCTGCTATAGTAAGAAATGCTTGACTTGGGGGGAGGGGCAAAAATAGTGACAAAGTAAATATACGGACAAGCAGCCAACTCCAAAAAAGAGGTTGCTTCACCTTGAAGAGTCCATGTCTCTTTATTTAATATCCACACACATCCAGTGACAAATTTAAAAAGTGCTTCCATCATTTGACTGAATTAATGAGCTATGATTCTCATTTTCCATGGCATTTTCCCCATAATACACCCAGATTTATTTAGGTGAAAGCAAGGTAGGAAAAAGAACACACTATAGAGGCCAACTGAGAAGCACAGGCAGGAGAGGGAGTTTCTCCCGGAAGCTCCATCCAGACTTTCACTCAACATTCTCATGAAGAAAATGCTTACATCATAATTTATAGAGGCAACACAATCAGTTTTTTTAAAATGTTCTTTTTTTTTCCTTTAGAAAAGAGTTCTCTTAGCACAATCCTGCATATGGAGAAATCTAACTGGTCTGACTTTTAAATGAAATTCCACCAGCTAGATAAACTTGGAACAAATGTTTAAGTTCTCATGGCCTCATCTTGCTTATTTTTTAACAGAAATCTGACAAGAATATAAGGCATTGATTTGACCTTGAAAAGGGACAATAATTCACATGGTGTCTAACACAGTAGCAGGCATGAATTAGCCACTGAGATATCTCCGTTTGCTCTCCCTACCATATCCATTTTGTAAGCACAATCTTTCAGGACCATCATCTTTTGATGGCTACTTGAAGCACTGAGTTCACAAAACAGCAGATTCCCAAATACCTCACTGCTAAGAATTATATACCATGGAAATAATATGTAATTATAAACGAACTACTGCATGATTTTACTGCTACATCTTCCTTGCTATATGATTTAGAGAAAGTGGGAAGCTGAAAGGAAATGGAATCTATTTGAATCATTGCACCCTCTTGACTTCATATTTATCATTTATGCTTGTTCAGCTATATGTGATATTTCCTAAGACATTTACTTTGAATCTCTACCTGTCCTTAGATTTCACTTACAACCTTCAAGGGAAAGAGTATTGTTTATTTTAAAAGACATGCAAATTGTTTCTGAAGTTTTATTAAGGACTTAATATGACACCATAGTATATAGGGTCCAGAAGTAAGTAAATAACCAACTATTAGTTTGCTAAGCACAACAGTAACACACACATTCTTTTCCAAGTTTGTGAATGGAAAAGCACGTCCAACCACTCAGAAAAACTGTATTACCATCATCTTTCAAGTATTTATTTATAGGTAGCATAATTGTGATAGATATATATATATGATATATATACATATAAATATAAATCTATGCCTATTAGAGGCATTAACTATTATGAGTTCATTTTAAATTACATCAATGAAAGTAACAACTTTCTAGATCCTTTCTGTAATTATGTATGTGTGTGTGTGTGTGTGTGTGTGTAAAATGAAGAAAAGTCCGTGTGTTCCAATTCTTTTTTAAAAAATTTCCTGACAATCGAAGATAATCCCTCCTCCTATCTTGTGTGGAAGGACTTAGCCATAAAGGTACAAGAAAAAATTTTCCCGCCCCTTGCTACTTGACAATCTAAGTCAGAAAGACAGAACCTGCTGTGATATAGTGAAGGTGTTTAATCTCTTGTTGATTTGTTTGTTTTCATTTCAAGTGGGCTCAACTTGTCGAAGCAAACATTGCTTCATCACAAAAATGTGTATTATCGGCCAGAGTCAGTAAACAAAGTATGAAGGAAATTACTTTCCATAATCTAAAATTTTACTTTCTGACACAGGAAAAATAATTAGTGTTTGCTCTGTCAAGGGAGATAGATTCTTTGATGTAACAGAAA